TTTTTTTTTTTTGGTACTGGGGATTGAACTCAGGACCTTGCACTTGCAAGGCAGGTGGTGGCACCACTGAGCTAATTTCCCAGCTCTAAAAGAGCTTTATTATCAGGAATATTTGAGGAATATTTGAGTCTTATTATCAGGACTATTTGACTATTCCCAGCCTCTTCATTTACCTTACAAAATACAAAATCCACCGAGTCTTTGGTTCCTCAACTATACAGTGCAGTAGTAAAATGCGAAAATTCCTATTCTCTCTTTTAGCTTTATGATTTGAGGGGAGAAGAGAATCTATATTTATCATTAACATCAGACTTAGATAAGGCCTACTTATTTACCAAAAGGCAAGTAAAAAAGAAAATAAGCCACTTGAAGACCACAGAATATTCACCATCTGCTCTTCCCTTCATAATACTATGTAAAGAAGCATCTTTCTATAGAACTTTTTTTCCCCCTAAAGAACTTTCTTTTCCAGTATAAGCAGTATTGAAGAGATCAAATCATCTGTTTAAACACGGTAAGTTACTAACAACCACACAATCTTCTAATGAGCAGATTTTTCCTTTATCTTGGTATTCCCCCATCCCAACTCAATTCATCTTCAGAGAACTTGTTTTGATGAAGAAGCTGAACTCTAGTTAAATTTATCTGAAACACGTACAGTTATAAAAAGCTAGTATTTTCACATACTGTATTGGTATCAGAGTTTTGTTGTACTGGACCATCAAATTTTAGCTTTAGAAAGACAGCAACTAAGGCACATATCAAAAATAACTATTATCTTAATTTTATACTCCAGGTTAATATTCCCAAATAACCAGTTAGAGTCCATCCTTTCTGTCTTTTAAAGCCAAAGCAATCTTCATTTTACCTTATATCTGGCCTTCTACCCCCTCTGTTTATAACAATCTAACTTCTGTCAAAGTTTTCACTTTTTTCTGCTATATCACAATCAGGTCTCTAGTTGCATGCTTAGTTTCCCTCCCTGTTTTTCTAACTATTGTTGCCATCCCTCAATCTCACTGATCAAATTTATTATTTTTTTAAATTCCTGTGATCAGTTTTCACAATACCGTATCTATCCTCTGCTCCTCTGTGATTTTTAACATATTACTCTTTTTAGAACCTAAGGCTTCTCTTGCTTGTCCTTTCCCCAAGAATACTACCAACCCATCTCTAGAATTCACAAAGTAGTATTGGAAACTCTTGACATCCCTAAGCATCCCTCCTACCCCTTTTCTCTTTATAATCCCTAGAATTCCAAAATTTCGAATATCCCTCAAAACCTATTCTATTTTCTCTGCTTTCCAACACTATCTCTTCCACATTCAACTAATTGTGCTTTCTCCTACACCCAAGTATCCCCTAGTGTGGCATAAGTCATTCAAGGATCTAAAATTCCAAAGCTTGACTTTTCAACCCAGCTCTCCATTTCCAACAAACTCTTCCCCAAAACATTTTGAGTGGCTACTCCCAGTGCTTCATTAATTCTCAATCTTAGACCACTACATAGCTTTCCTCAATCTTACCTGCCTTGCCCAAATCTTTGTCTTTAAGCTTCCCAGACCTCACCTCTGCAGTGCTTCCATTCCCCAAATCCCATTCCTATCATTTCTGTCTCTATAGTCTATGGTCTCCCTCTAAACTCAGCCCTCTTCCTCATCGCATTCTGCCACCCCCAACCCCTGCCTCTCAGAACAGTCTCCCTGAATATGTTCTCTACCATTTCTTAGACCTATTACCCAAGCTTTCTCAATTCTCCCGTAACAGACTTAATCTCATAGTCACACCCTCACTTGCTCAGCCTCACACTTCAGAGAACTCTCTCTAGAACCTTCGGATCCCTCATTCTCTCTCCTCCAAATCTGTCTCTGGTGTTCTCCATTTCTCTCAGTCTTTGTAATATCCAGTTTTCACGATCTTCTTACTCCTGCCAAACATTTCCTTCGTTATTTCCCCGATTACTCAACTTTTTTCTCAGCCATTCCCTCAGCCCTCCATGGCAGATTCTACCTCTGTCACTGTCCTAGAGTTACTTCTCTCATCCCTTAAATTATTCACTCACCTTCCCCAATCTTTTCCTCATTCCATTCTCCCTTCAACAGTGTTATCTGTCCTCCAATTTCTATTGACTTGGCGCCCCCCTAGTCACCAAACTGCCATCTACTCCAAATAAACGTCTCCAGGCCGCCAACATTTCCTCCTATCCTTTGCCTCCGCTCCCGAGCCGCTCTAAACACCCAGACACCATTCTCCAAGGCCAGGGCTGGGCCTCTAGGGAGAAGAGGTACGAGTCACGTACCCCATTCGCATCTTGGCTCCGCTCTGACTGCCCCCGCTACCGGGGAGAGGAGGGCGAGTGGGCAGGCGGCCAAGGTGCATGCTCTTCTCGAGGGCCGACATCAAGGGGAGGCCGCACGTCGTCAAACAGTAGCACAAGATTCGTCCCACGCTAAGTGTGGCCCAACCGATCACACTTAGCTCTCCTAACGACGCCCTGTCGCCTTTGAACAGCACCCAGAAACCGGCAGCACCGCCTACCGCCCACCGGCTCTGTAAGCCCCGCCCCCTCGCCCCGGCGCTTCTGCCGGAAGTGCGCAACAGTCTTCCCACAAAGGACGCTGGGTAACGGAGTCTGAGGACCCTGCAGACCCCTAGAGAACTTGACGACCCTCGACGGAAAGAGGAGCGCTCCTAAAGGCAATGCACGCTGGGCAATGGAGTCCTCAAAGAGCATGTCCCTTTGCGCTTGCGCAGCAGGAGACGGCCCTGTCCAATCCCGCATAGGTAGCGTAGCGAAGCATCCTGGGTGTTGTAGTCAATTGGCAGGAAGTAGTCTTGGCGCCTTCCCTTGACACCACTTTCCGGAGACTGTTGGAGAAAGAACCGCTTCTTCCTGCCTCCCACGCTGCGCAGCGGCGCTGGTTGCTGGGGAACGCAGGCGCCGTAAGAAGGGATGGCGGGAGGATACTGCCTAAGTGCTGGAGCGGGAGTTGAGTTGGTGAGGAAGAGCTCCGGCGAATCATGAAACAAAGAAGAGACCAGGAACCTGGGGGCGGCCGTGGGCGCAAAAAGAGAGGTAACCCGAGCTGTCGAAAGTTAAAGGAAGCACGGCGTACGGAATTGTAGGGAGACTTGCCACCTTGCCGGTAAAGGGGGAGAAAACACGCAAGAGAGAAAATCAATAGGGAACCAGAAGGCTAAGAGAGTAATCTCCAAAGAATGGAAAGAAAATGGTGCCTGGGTGGTAAGAAAAAAAAGGTAGTGAAGAAGGGCAAGGGCTAACATAGTATGGGTAGAGGAAGAACAAAAAAAATATGAGAATGTTTTTTTATGACAAAGGTAAATGTATACGTGTGCACATGTGTAGCCTTAAAGGTTCACAGGGGGCTGGAAGAAACACAAATTGAAGAGAGGTGTATGTTAACGGTCCTGTTGGACAATGACCACGTTTTATTACTAAATCCCCAAGAAGTGTCACAAAGTAGGACTCAGTAAATGTTAAGTTAATTGAATTGAAGCATGAAGAACTACGAGCAGGAGTTGGGAAAGACAAAATGTAGAAAGAAAACATGTGGGGAATGACAAGATATGGTAGGATTTGGAGTGGGGGTTAAGGGCATGAGGATCTCTTGAAGGACCTTAAGACTTCCTCACGGTAGTAGTCTAAGGAGAAATGAGCTTTTGAAATGACTAGGTAATGTTAGCTGCAGTGAAAATAGTCACTCTAGGAACTCAGGACAGATGAGAAAACTGGAAATTGAATCTCTATAAGGCTGTCTTCAAGTGGGAGGGAAGGCATTTTTTACATTATAAAATGTAAAATTTTATAATGTGAACCTACCTTTTTATATGATAGTCACTTTAGTGAAGATAGAGGTGTTGGGAATAGTCTTAGTACATTAGGCTGTTGGGTTGAGGACTGACTACAGTCTGGGAATGAATCTTGTCTGAGCTGTTTAAATGCCACTGAGGCAGTTTTAAGATAGTATCTTTCCTGTCAGAAATGGACCGTGGAGGTGTCCAATGCTGGTGCTCCCTGTATCAAACCGGTCAAGCATACTAAATTGATGGAAAGAATGTCAAAGTAGAAATAATTTAACAGTAGTATAGAAAAGAATGTGCCATGTGCATATGTGGGAATATTCATGGGCATACCTGCATATAAGTTTTTTTTTCTTCTTTGAGACAAGGTCTTGCTATGTAGTTCAGACTGGCCTGCCTCATGATCTTTCTGCCTCCGCCTCTGTGTGTTGGAATTACAGGAAGCCCCACTATACCATGCATATAATTTTTATATTAAAACTAATTATCCATGAAGGTTATCGTGGGTCTTTTCTCCACTATATAGAAGAAAATGTTTGCTTTAGTATTTCAGAGAATTGGTTGTATAGATTTCTGATCTAATAGATTTCAGTACATTTTCTTATGAAGCATTACCTTTCCCCTAGAAAGGTCTATATAATATAGGGATAATTTTATAATTCTCTCTGAAGTCTTGTAGAAAAGATACTGACTGAAAAGAAGACAACCAGAGTCATGATTAATTGCCCTGTTTACATTTTGCCTTGACACCTTTCTGTAATCCAGTTAGTATTAAAGCTAATAAATTTGAACCCATCACTAAAAAATAGTTGCAGAATCTAAAGATGTTGGTCTCCATCCTTATTGACTATATGATCTTGGCAAGAAAGAAAAGACACAAACAATTTAAGATGCTTTTTGTTGAAATACTAAGATATGTGATACAGATTAACAGACTAAATTTGTGTGTCCAGTGAAGTAAGTTGCTGTTTTATGTTTAATGATAATTTTAAAATAAGCTAGGTAAAGATAATATCTTAAAATGTGGTTGTTGCAATAATTGAAACTACTCTAATTTTTAAAATTTCAACTATTGCTTAGATTTTGAATACCTATCTACTGGTATCATTATATTTGTATTTTTTAAATAGTATATTTCAATTAAAGAAAAGTTTGTATTAGTATGTCTTAGAGTAACCTGAACCAAGCCCTAAATACTAATTAGTTATCAGGGTTACAGAAGTGATCAGGTAGGTATTCTATGATCTGATTTCTTTGTTACTTCTCATGTATTAGAATAGATAGAATAAGCCTTCTCTCTGTAGAGATTATGCTTTAACAAGATGCTTTCTTGTTTTAATTTAGACAGCAAATTTTGGCCGGGGATTTAGATCAGTGGTTACAGTGCCTGCCTCACAACCACAAAGTCCTGAGTTCAATCCCCGGGCCCCCCAAAAAAAGAAAGCAGATTTTATGTTTTTCTATATTTAGTGTAGATTTCTGAGTTAGTGTTCTTGGATTCCTCCATAGGTTTGAGTGACATTTTGCCATCTACAAGCCTACCACCTCTGGTTGAAGGCCAGCTACGGTGCTTTCTAAAACTTACTATTAATAAAGTCATATGGAAGATTACAAAGCCTCCCACTTGTGTACTAGTCCGAGTGAGATGGTGGGGAGAAACATCAAATGGAACCCTCTTTTGTCCCAGAGATGCATTACAGACAGAACCAAAAGCTGTGAGAACAACAACACGTTATGCTATTCGCTGTGGTCCAAAGCAGTTTACTTCTTATCTAACAGGTATGCTTTAGTTTGCATGTTTTTTTTTTTACCTGCAGACCTAACATGAAGCATGTAGTTATGTTATCAGGAATAGGTGTTTCTATGTATGTAGGATCTATGGGCATTAATTCCTGAAGCATTAAAAAGGCTTTGTAATAAACCACCATTTGTTGAATGTAATCTTTGTGCTAGCAGTTTATACATATTCTGATCCTCAAAATAATAACTGTGTAAAATAGAAATTTTCTGTTTTGTAGATAGTGAAACTTACATTCAGAGAGATGAAATGAATTCTAAGGTCACTTAATTGATAAATGGCAGAACTAGGATTTAAACCCACTTCTGACAACATAACTCATGATTTTTAATCCCAGCTACAGAACTTGGGAGACTGAGGCAGGAGGATCCCTTGAGCCCAGGAGTTTGAGGCCTGCCTGGACAACGTAACAACTCCCCTTTAAAAAAACTTAAAACCAAAAGTAAAAACCCCATGGTCATTTCAACTGTACCATATTTTTAGATAATAACTGCAGTTTCCACTCTGAGACCTACATTATGTTTGAGGGGACAGGAGATAAATATAAAATTTATTAATAGTACAAAGTAAATGGCAAATTAATATTTTAGTGAATTAGTATAACAGGTTTTCAGAGAAGGAATGGATTCCTCTATAGGGAACTAGAAGGCAAGATATCTTCATTTCTGTCCAAGAAAGTATTCTGAAGGGCCAGGGATTTAGCTAAGTGGCGCCCGCGCCTGCCTCAGAAGCACAAGGTCCTGAGTTCGATCCCCAGTACCAGAAATTTAAAAAAAGAAAGTATTCTGAAGGTGTGTATGGTGTTATTTCTTTATTCAGATCAAGCTTTCACATAAACACATTTTGGATGTTGAGGTTATTTATCGTATCATTCAAGTCAACAAAAATTGAACATTTATCATGTAAACATTGTTGGGCTATGAATATTGGAAAACCAGAGGTGAACTGAAGATCACTGCGAGTTCAAAGCCAGCCTGGGCTACATAGTGAGTTCAAGGCCAGCCTGTATTGCATAGGGAGACCATGTCTCAAAAAAAAAAAAGAAAGAAAGAAATAGTAAAATGTAAAGAACAAATGCTATAATTCAGTCATTGAATAAATATATATGGAATACTTAGCATGTATGAGACATTATGCAAGGCACACTGGAGGTTATAAAAATCAGAATGGTCTCTAATTCTAACTACACAAATAAGTTTAGCCATATGGTAGCTTATTAAAGTATATCCATAGATACTTTTGGTACTCTAAACATAAAACTTAAATACTCAGGTGGTATTTTTATATAATTTAACACATGAAGAGTGATTATAAATTCAGCAAGAGAAAAGGTATCTTTTAATATAATCAGTAGTTTCCAACATTTATGTGAGCTATATAATGCATTGAAATTGGCATCTAACTGTGTAGGTTGGTGCTATCAACTACAGAGTTTTAGCAAAGTACCTTCTCAGATCTACCCCCATTTCTTCATCTGTAAAATGAGATCAAATAGGTACCTTTTCACTTATTTTCATAAAAATATTTGACTGAAAAGAATGCAGACTTTGACGTCTAGACAATCTAGGGTTTGAATTCTGACTTCATGTATGATACTGAGAGAGTCCTTAAGATCATAAAGCTTCAGTTAATACCATGTACCTGTCAAGAATTATTGTAAAAATTAAATGAAAAAGTGTTTGTAAAATGATTGGTCCAGTACCTGGTACCTTGTAGGTACAAGTGTTACACAAATATTAAGTGCTGGGCACTATGGTGGACATAGAGATTTAAGATATAATCCTTACCAAAAAGGAACTTGAAGATTAGATGAAAGGAACAAAATTGATGCAGAGCATGCTGGCTCATGCCTATAATCCCAGCACTCAAGAGGCTGAGGTAGGATTGCCTTGAGTTTAAGGCCTAAAGGGAAAAAGGAGACAAAACTGACATACATGAAACAGCTGTGAGCACTGGCAGTATATAAATATCTGATTATTTGGTACATGTAGATGTTAATAAGGGCTAATATTGTAAATTATTAGCAAACCAAAAGCCTACTTTTGCTATGTGACTTTGAGCGAGCCATTTCATCTTCCTGGGCTTTAATATTCCCATCAGTGGATGTAAAAGAATTAAACAACAAATGTGACAATATCAAATTCCATGTTTCTAGTTAGGAAAGAAGTCAAGAAATCATGGAAAAGGTGGGATTTCAATAGAAGATAGATAAATTTTCTAAGTAATGTCCTAGCTATGGATATCAGCATAGTATTTTTTTTTTAGAAAATGAAGAGCCAAGAGACCAAATATTAGTTTACAAGAGTGTGTGCTCTAGCTGAAAACTTAGGGAAAATATTACTATTTCTTTTCTTTTTTTTTTTTTTTTGTTCCAGGGATCGAACTCAGGTCTTTGTGCTTGCTGGGCAGGCAGCAGAACCACTGAGCTAAATCCCCGGCCCAATATTACTATTTCTTAACCTGTGTGGTGAGTGTGCATTTTATTTTTATTCTTTTGTGTACTCTTTTATATGCACATTTCACTTAAAATGCAAAAGTAAACTAATGAATATGTTTTCACATATTAGCGTGAAATGTAAATAAGTGTAGGTTGGAAGGAGAGATATAGTCAGATTATATGAGTTAAGATAAAAATAACATCAGAAAACAATGAGAAGTATATAGTATTTTATAATTTATGAAATATTTTCAGGTCCCTCTGTTGTGGCTTTCACAGAACTAGCTTGTGTATATTGGAGCCAAGACACAATCACAGGTCTTCTCATTATAAGTTCTCCATGCTTTTCATTGAAGTAATTGAACAAAGGGTGAAAATGAAACATTTTCTCAGCTTTGCTAAAAATATTCAGAGGTCATACTATCTTGAAATTATGTTAGATTCCATTTGGATACATTATATTTTTCTATGAATTAGGACCAGAAAGGTATTAGGTCTAAGTGATTATTAAATTTCATTAAGGTGTTTATTTCCATTCCTCTTAATTCCAAATTTTCTTAATAGCTAGTGAAACTAAGAAAGGACTAAACAGATACTTCTGGGAGACAGGGACCAACCCTTAGAGCTATGCAAGAGCAGCCTTTTGTGATCTAAGATATTTCTTTTTTTTCTTTTTTTTGATACCAGGGATCGAACTTGGGACCTTGCACTTGCAAGGCAGGCAGCAGAACCTCTGAGCTAAATCCCCAGCCCCAAGAGCAGCCTTTTGGCCAGGGCAAAAGTAGAATAGTGAGAATTTAAAAACTGAGGTTTGTTGCTTTAGTTATTCAAAATCAAAGCCTGAGTTTTGGGGGGGGTTTTTTGGTACTGGGGATCGAACTCGGGACCTTCCGCTTGCAAGGCAGGCGGCGGAACCACTGAGCTAAATCCCTGGCCCAAAGCCTGAGTTCTTGACAAATATATTTAGCACTGCTCTTTTAAAGAGAATTTCCTTATCTAATACTTGATATACTAAATATTTTATTCAGTGAAAATTTTTTTCTTAGTGCAAGGTATTCAGCATTCTCTAAAACTTTACAGTTTTTTTTTGTTTTTTGTTTTTTGCTTTTTGGTACCGGGGATTGAACTTGGGACCTTGCGCTTGCGAGGCAGGTGCCAGAACCACTGAGCTAAATCCCCAGCCAAACTTTACTGTTCTTTTGATCATGGGCTCACACACCCCACTTCCTGCTCCAGAATGGTATGGCAAGTAAGTGCCTGGTTTATTTGAAATTAAAATATTTTTTTAAGTAAAAAGATTTTTTAAAGTATACCCTTCTGCTTATTTCCAAAAAAATAAATAAATGAAAAATATTTGAGTGTGTTGTAATTGTTTCTGATTAGATATGGCTGTTTTGGTGCTGGAAGTAATCACCAAACTTGATCATCTTCCAATTGGTAGAGTTCAGATCAATGGAATAGCTCAGCTTTCTCCAACTCATCAAATCAATGGATTTTTTACCATTGTTTCGCCAACATCTAAGAAACTTGGAGAACTTCAGGTAAAAATATTTTCTTTACTGAGTAAAATAAAACTTTTTGGACAGAAATAATTGAGTCTTGTGAAATAGATAAATATACGACTCTCGTATATCATACTGATTCCCACCACATGCTTTTATTCATGTTTTTACCCATGGACTACCTTTGTTTTCCACTTATCTAGATCCACTTAGTGCTGTATTGCCCATCTCAAGTTCTAAGATTCCTTCACATCTCCTACTGTACTCATTCTCTACACTCTATTAAATTTAAATGTATATTACATTAATTATATAATCATTTTTCTGTTAGAGTCTCCAAAATTTGTGTATTAGTAGGATCCCTTTAATTTTTCCTTCAAAAGACTTTTGCTTTTTTTTCCCCAGCTCCTAGTACAAAGGGAGACCGAAATATATGTTGAATGTTTAAATTTTTAAAAATTTATCACAGTAAAAGACACATTGCCAAGGTCCTGAGTTCGATCCCCGGTACAAAAAAATAGAAAGACACATTGCTATTAATTCCCCTCAAAAATATTCCCCCACACTTTGAACACACTTATGCCCTTGTTCTTGCCACTTTCTGAAGCAGTTCTAAAAGTCTTTCATTAATGTCTTTATGAGGTGTGATCAAAAATACATGATTGCTGCTGCTGACTGACATCAAATGGAAAAGCAGGCCAGTTAAAAACATTATGGAGTGTCTTCATCCACCTTATTCCCCGGATCTGGCACCATGAGACTTATGGCTCTTCTCAAAGTCAAAATGACCATGAAAGATAAATACTTTGAATTGATTCAGAACATCATGCAGCCATGATAGTGCAATTAAAAACATGATAGTGGGCTTCCAGAACTGCTTGAGAAAGTGGAAAGAATGGTGGGTAAGTGCGTTTGAAGCAAGAGGTAGTGTTTTGAGGAAGGTTAATGGCAATGTGTCTTTTACAGTAATAATTTTTTAAATTTAAACATTCACTGTATTTTTGATCATACCATGTATAGTGCTAAGTGATAATTTCTTGTTTGATGATATAAGTGGTGTCTTCGATGTATTCATTCATTGACTCAGCTTTTTGATACAGTGTTATGTGCCACTAACTTAGGATACAGAGGTAAGAGATGGCGCTGTCATTTACCTTTCCAGAATACAGCATGATATACATTATGCTCCACATAAGCATAGGTTGCTGGGAAAGAACATAGATTTTGTTTTGGGTGTTTTGTTTTGTTTTGTTTTTTGGCACCATGCTGTGAACAGAACGCAGGGCCTTATGCATTCTGGGCAAGTGTTTATCGCTAATTCCATGTCCTTAGCCTAAGGGAAACAACGTGAAAGGTCTCTTTTCTGAGAGGACTCTGGGATAGCCTCCTAGAGAACTCTGAATATTCAGATGCCACAGAAATTCAAGGGAGTTTATACCTTGTCAAATATCTTCTGGAATATAAATAATAAATGAAAAAATAGTCCAAAAAAAGATAAAGAATTTCCAACATTATCACATGTAAAAACATATGACAAAACTACAAGCATGTAATTATGTCAGTGGAACAGAATAAAAGTTCAGAAATAGATCCAACTAAAAGGGAGAACTTATTTTCTTTATAATGTTTATTTACAATATATTACATTTGAAAATAGTGACACCTTATATTAGTAACCTATGGGGAAATGATCTGTTTTACACATGCTCTTCTGGTGACACAAATTTGCATCAGGCCTATAAGACAGTAGTCATATTTTAAGAGCCATAAAAAGTACCATATATCCTCGGGTATGGTGGCATGTACCTATAATCCCAGCTACATGGGAGGCTGAGGCAGGAGGATCACAAGTTTATGGTTAGCCTTGGCAACTAAGCGAAACTTCACCTCAAAATAAATTTTTTAAAAAGAGCTGGGAATGTAGCTTAGTGATCTGCACCTCTGTAGCATGCACAAGGCCCTAGGTTCAATCCCTAGTACAGTGAAAAAAAGAAAAAAAAGTATCATATGTTGTTTAGCTCAGTAATTTCACCTTCAGAACTTAAGGAAATACCATAAAGAGAAGAGGAAGCTATATGCTTATGCTTAGTTATGAACATACATTTTTTAATATTGGAAGAATGAAAACTAATTCAATAATATTATAATTGTAGTCTATTGAAATATTTTCTAACTGTAAAAGGAAAAATTACATAACGATTATGTAGCAGCATGGAGATAATTTTGTATTCACGACAAAGGAAAATTAAAATGATATGCACATATATGTATACAATTGACTGGAGGAAAAAGAAAAAAATGAAAAGGAATTTAACATTCTACTTAATGTTTTTGTTTCTTTTTAAAAACTAAGATACATACCATAAATTCACCCTTTTAAAGTGTACAATTCAGTGATTTAAAGGATTATCTAATTATTATTACTATCTAATTCCAGAACATTTCATTCCAAAATGCAACACTATACCTACTCTCCCAGTTCCCCCTTCCCCAGTTCCTGGCAACCATTAATTTACTTTCTGTCTATATGTATTTGCCTCTTCTGAATATTTCATTTATACAGAATAATATGTGACTTTGCATCTGGCTTCTTTCACTTAATATAATGTTTTTAAGGTTCATCTGTGTAACACTACTATATTCCTTTTTTTTGAGTAAATATTCAATTGTATGTGTATACCTCATTTTGTTTATTCTTCAGTTGATAGACATTTGGATTTTTCAGCTTTTTAACTATTATGAATAATGGTGCTATGAACATTTATGCATGAATTCTTTTGTGAACATGTTTTTAGTTCTCTTTAGTATATACCTATGAGTAGAATTGCTAGGTGGTATGGTAACTCTTTTTAACTTTTTGAGGAACTACCAGACTTTTCCAAAGTGGCTGCAGTATGTTTTGAACATATTTACATGTCAATTGGTATGATAATATTTGTATTTTTTAAATTTTAAAGATCATTGGGTTGTTCAGTTGTTTTTTAATAGAGGAGTGGAGACAGAAGTCAGATTCTGAAAAGATTAAAGAATACAGAAATATATAGGAATTAGAGTGAAGAAGTAGAATGACCAAAAAATACTTCTTTTTACCAGATAATTGACAGTGAAGAAAGGTAGAAGTACAGTAGTGTGATACAATGGAAATAGAAATTGGTTACAAAATATAGAGAAATTGGTTACAAAACAGTTCTGGTGTTTACTAGGTAATCATTTATACTTGCAGAGTTTAAGTATCCTATTGTTGCAAGGATTATATGAGATGAAAAACTATACAAACTCTGGTCCTAGGTGTGTGATACCAACATAGCAAATTTACTTGAATTTGAGAGGAGATAATAGTGGTAAAAGTGTTTTTTTTTTTAAAAAGAATATGCAATGAAGCCTAAAATATTTATTACCTGGACGTATACAGAATGTTTGTCAAGCCCTTTGTTTAAAATATAGGAAACATGATTTATTTTGGTAGACTAAAGGGAAGAACAACTGAAGAGAGTTAATATAAAATAGGAGATGAAGCAGGGAAAATCAACTTTTTGTATGGACATTTATTTTCATTTCTCTTGGAAATTAAATGAAATTGCTGATCCGTATAGTAAGAAGCAATTAAAAACTGTTTTCAAGTGCTTGTACAATTTCTTTTTTTCGGTACCAGGAATTGAACTCAGGGCCTTGTGCTTGCCAGGCAGGCATGATGCCACTGAGCTAAATCCCAGGCCCTGCTTGTACAATATTACATGGCTGTCAGCAGACTATAAACATTCTGGTGTTTCCACATCCCTACCAGCACTTGATATAGTCAGACTTTTTAATTTTTGTCTTTCTGGTGTATACTGATGCATCACTGAGGTTTTAGTTTTCATTTCCCAATGAGTAATATGTTGGGTAGTTTTTCGTGAGCTTTTTTGCCCATTCTTTTGTCCTCCGTGTGGTCAAAGACTAACTCTCAAGCAAAATTTGGCCTATCTATATTTGTAAAAAGTTTTATTAGAAAAGAACCACACCCCTTCATATATATAATATGTATATATAGTGTGTGTATATAAGTATATGTATAGTATATGGTTACCAAATAAATTTTTCAAAAATAAAATCATTGAGAAATGAGTAAAATGAATCACATATTATATGGTTGCTTCTGAGTGCTCTTGTAGGTAAGTAATCAGATTATTTACATATGCTAAATGTCAGTTGAAACAGCCTTATATTATCAGTCTCTGCTGGTGATCTGAGACTTTACCTTTTTTTTGGTACCGGGGATTGAACTTGGGTCCTTGCACTTGTGCAGCAGGCGGCGAAACCACTGAGCTAAATCCCTGGCCTGAGACTTTACTTTTGATAGCATAAATCATAAGTTTTTTTTTTTTTTTTGGTACCAGGGATTGAACTCGGGACCTTGTGCTTGCAAGGCAGGCGGCAGAACCACAGAGCTAAATCCCCAGACCCCAAGAGTTCTTTTTTTAACTGAAGTTTGAGCTAAAAATATTGAACACTACACCTAGCACTAAGCTACCTAATATCCATGTAGTTATGACAGCCTACTGTGAGTGCTTATCCAGTTTGTCAAGGATAATACTGACCAGAGGAATTTAATTCACATTATAATTATGTACATGTGTTGTTTGACCTTTAGCTTTTTAGACAGAGTAAATAATGAATAAGTTTCTAGTTCTGTGTCTTTGTAGAAGGTTGCCACCTCAGATTAGATTTTGAAACAAATTTACTGTCAAGAAGAACCATTACAAGAGCATTATCCATTATCATCAGTCTTTAATAAACTTTTTAAGACATTCCTCAGCTAAGAGAATTATTTTCTTAATGATAGGTTTATCATGTGTATCGCATCAAAAAGTTTTCCCATCACATTACAATTTTCATTGATACTTTAATAGAGTAGAGTAAGGGTTATTTTATTTATTTAGTTAGTTATTTGCTTAAATTCTTTTATTGTTACATTTTAGGTATACAATACGTTTACATTTATCATTGGGTGCTTATACCTGTACATGATGTATCTTGGTTCTTATTTTTTCTCCATTCCC